TTGGTGTGAATATCCTGACACTATAGTGTACCGGTCGGTGTCAGACTTGTAAATTTGTTGATGCCACGAACATGGACCATTGGGGTTTGCTGTATAACTTTGCTTACCTTCGTGTAAATAGTACTGCAGACTCTCGAACCCAAATGTTCCTTTTGCTATTTGGGATCTCTAAACCTACGCGTGACTCAAAGCCCCATATCTGGAGCCCAAACAGCGTGAACGAATTTCATTGAATTGTATGCCTTGGAATTAGTCAGCAGGATTACCTGTGGAACTGCATCAGATTGTTATGTTCCTAATAATGTTTGGCAGCCCCACCGGTTCACACGCTCCGACGGAAGCTGCGGTTCCATAAGCTATTCAAAGCAGTCTCACGAAGCTTCTCTCAACTGCCTTGCGTGTGTGATGTTTGCCGTCAATGATTGAAAATGAGTGTTTATGATTAGTGTGAGGTAAACAGTAATAATGTCTTGGTGAACACAGTCTGCATGCACAGCATCTTTTGGGACAAGCAATAAAACTATCATAACGGTTGCATTTGAACTTGATAGGTTAGCGTGTTTCACCTACTAAGTTCTGTTGGCTCCATATCTGGATATGGTACTGAACCTGTTAGCATCCCATGAATCTGCCTCCGAATCCGTCTAGTCAAGAAGCACACGGTTCGTTCTTTCACCAAATGTGTAGATTACAGTGCACAGTATTAGAAAAATCGGTATTCTTGCTTGGTGTAGGACACAGATATGTCAAGAATGAGGGTTTCTTTGAACCAGTGATCTGGGAATCTCCACATAAGTTCATTGGTTGCATCTATATTAGTCGAACCGCTGCAGTTGCCAAATTGCTGAGCAATCGGAAGAAGCTGACTGTTGTTGACTTTGAAGAAAAAATGTTTCACGACAAATAGCAGACTATCCAGTTGACCGAATTCTCACGAAGTCATCTGACACATAAGGTGAAATCATTCGCTTGAAAGACATTTATTAGAACCTATTGATTTTCTATTTCCCCTTGTTTCCAACAGTCTCTACATCTGGAAGCGGGCTCCCTCGACTACTCTGAAGAATATTATGCCATGAATGTGTGAGGTATTTCGACAGAGTAATGAAATTGCGAATTCAGCGTTCATTTCAGTATTGTGCTTCCCCACCACAGCCAACATTAAGCGGAATCCCTCACTGAAACCGCTTTAATGCTGCTACGGCCAAGAAGCTCATCCCGCATACGATTAGCCGAGAAATCGGGCCGCTTGCCAGTCCAGCATCAAGACGAGCTCTGAGTGGTCGAACAGCCAGTCGTGATTTAGTGTTTAGCAAATGACGGCTGTCAACGCCGCTTCCAGGTGTCAGAATTTCGAGAATGTTGTCGCTGTATAGACTTTATAAACGACGCGCTGTACATGTGTTTTTGACCTGGTTTTGGCGTTAATGCATGTTGTGAACCTGTGGTTGTTGTTTTGACGGGAACGCTAGCTTGGAAGCTTCAGACAGGGAACTGAGCTGAGAGAATACCGTTATTATAACCAGCCACAATGAGCCGGTCAGCCACAGATCTTCTCACCAAGGAAACTACTCATGACCGGTTGACTCATGTCGGACATCCACGGTTAGCTGTTTTGACAGTCACTATGAATAATAGCATAACAGCCTTAAGTTGTTTTATCGCTAAAAATTCATGGAAAAATTCCTTCGCCTCTAAATCACTTATCGGCAAACAACAACCAAGCGGTTGCAATCTATTAGACACGAAGGTAAACATATCATCTACACAGTTTTTGAAAACTGGACATTCCCAAGCGTCGCTTTGAGCATTCTCGGTTGTTGTGTCAACATTAAAAAAGTATAAACGAACACTGCAAAGCGGTTCCATCGTTTGTGTAGTAATCTCCATCCCCCTTCAGCTATGGGAGAGGAGCCTGGACACCGAACCCTAGACTACTTGCGTGCTTCATCAGTAATATACACCGCCACACTGGTAGTAACTGTAACTGGAATGCGTTTAACAGTAGAGTTATTACTACACTGTGATTGGTTTAGCTAGGTTGGTTGCTGTTGACGTTAGATTGTGATTTTTCAGATTCACCGCGAAAACTGTCTTCGTGTTCGCTGGGAAACTGCCAATGACCAGCTGTCGATTCCAGGCTAAGTCAACCACAATAAGTTTGTTGCACTCAGTCTAGTGGGTACGGAACTAGTGATGAGGCTCCCAGCGATATTACAAAAGTCATCTGGATATGGGCTCCCAGCGATATTACAAAAGTCATCTGAATACATCTGCGTGATTAGCCCCCAACTATGAGACTGCGAACAAAGACAATGGAACCATCCGCGAATTGTCCGTTGGTAGTGAAACTGACCGGAAAGAGCACTCGGAATCAAACTGTCTTTTGATTTATCAGCAGCAAATAGATGTCAAAGTTTATTAAACATGTCATCTGGCTAGATAGTTGCTTTTTGTGTCCTCTGAGAAGGTATTTATTGAAACAAAACAAGAATGCTTCATCTTGGAGATGGACCAGTGAGATATATCTGACACAAGTTCCCGGTTAGTTAGACTGCATTAGCAACTGACTGTACGATTACGGTGCTACTGTGTCTCAACAAATACAAAAATAATTGCCCTGTGTTTGATGAATCTTCCAACATATGAAAGTAAGCTTTACCGGTTGCAGTTTTCTATAGCACGCACAACGATTCTTCACTTATCCAAAGTGTACTCGTTGGTTTTCTCAGTTTAAGACGGACTGGTGATAAAGACACTGTTCCGGGTTTGATTAGAAATAGCCCGGGCAATCAAGTGTTTCACTCATGAGAAAACACCAGAAAATGTGGTAAAAAACTTCTACAGAAAGGAAATCTCCTTGGGAAACACAAGTGCGAACCCCTATCGGACTTTATACATTTGACTTACCCGAAATTATGCGGTTACGTGAAGCCACTTTAGCAGATTTTGTCGGGCTTTGATCAATCCTTTTACTTCACAAGGGTATAAACGGTAGTTTACACCTAGTGTCCTCAGAATCACCACTACCAATGATTAATTGATGCACCATCAACCAGGACTGAACATAAAAATTATTTTATTTGCAGTAATCTTATCTGACCTTGCATAAAATTTCTCTCCTGTGGGCTGCATTTGCTAATGTAAAGCATCTTGCCACCTTGCATTACAACCACAGTCGAAGGTTAAATCTGAAAAGTACCACCAGACCAAAATGAATTATTATTGGAAAATGGGTTATTAATATGCTACCCCATTGATAAAGCTAATCTATATGCGATACTGGTTGCAAATGTATGAGGTTCCTAGTGATATGTCTCCGTGCTCAAAGCTTAGACTTACTTAGAGATTAGAATAGAAAAATACGGAAACAGAAGACTGCGTTTGTTGTGGAATTTTGATGCTAAATCGGTTCGTGCCATCACGTGATAGGTCGTGCTGCAGTAGCTAGACGCCACCATATCTGACTCAGGCCCCTGAGAGAAGTCGCACTCGGCTAAGTGCAAAATTAAGTAACCACTTCTGTCGAAAATTGTCGATTACAGAGGAATGATTTCAAAAAAAGATATGAATTTCAACGTAAGTTGAGAACCTCAGATACCTCAAAAGTTTATTGGTTACTGTCACACGAAAGCCAGCCGTTTATATAAAACGGAAGTATTGTGTGGAAATAATCCCACTCGCAAATTAAATTAATGTTAAACGGAGATTCAAGTGAATCTTGGTAGCCACAGTTGTGTCCTATTGGTAAATTCACGTGCGACCTCACTTGTTTTGAGTTTAATTGATCATTGTTTAAGAAATTAGATTTGCCTGATGACAAACAGAATGTTGATATTTTGAGGCCCAATTCTGTTGATAAATTAGTATTTGTCTCGAATTACAATATACCGCCATACTCATGAAATTATATACATAGGTAGTATTAACGTAATAAGACTTGACATAATCTGTAAAGGCACCCATGAAGGGGATAACTTTCATACCGGTCAGTCATATAAACGTGAAGACCGATAAGTAACTCAGCTGTTAACAGTAGGTGTCTCTAGGTTAGAAACATCTTTCACTTTCATGCAATTACTGTGGTTTCTCCGAAATGTTCTTGGAGGTGGGAGCGTTTCAGGGTTCGTAAAAGCGAAATGTCAATCTCCTTTCTACGCGTGATAGCATCGTCCACTATGACATTTGTATCAACAGTTCGTAGAAGAGGTTTAATAGACAATACCTTTTTTGGGTCATCGAGCCCCTGATTTCTGCGAAAAGCACCTTTTGTTGCAGGTACTGGATATTGGTATTGGGTATTTACAAAATGTGTGCGGTAATTACAGTGATTCTGCCACCAACAGCAGACTATTCTGCGTGCGTTATTTTCTTCAGGAATTATTCGTTCTTTACGGTCCACAATATCCTTTATGAATCTCCTTGGCATGCTCTTTGCAATCACGCCCTCCCTTTTGATATCTACCATCCACTTTTTGCTGGTTACTTGTCAATAGGGGTGTCTTAAAGGCACTCACTTAGAAGCGTTCATTCAAGCTTAGATACATTTATGCCTGGCTAGCAAAGCTTCTTATGGTTTATACATGTTTGATCAAAATAGCCCAAACGAATTTGAAATTTTGCTTCACGGCAATGGAGACGTAGGTTTGCAGTTAGTTGGGAGACACTTGGAACCATTCGAGAAGCCATTGTTTCAGAGAAGCTTGAAAACCTATAAACTGCTTTTTGAATCGCAACCTGTAAACCATGGATCTAGTATCCACTGGTAAGACATCAAGGCGGCTGCTCTGAATTGCAGCCAATCACGAGATAAAGAATCACTGCACGTGTCTATCTTAGTGAACCAATCAGAGAGTGGTAAATGTTCTGCGTGGGTGCGGCGGCTTGTTGCGCCTTCTCTGAGCAATCATGAGGCTGCTCACTCACGTGCACATCACACTTGTGGCTGTTGTCCTCCGGTGCGAAAAAATTCACGCTTTCTGAGTGTCACTCTCGTGGATATTTTGGATTTATGTTGGGGACCGCTCCAACATTTTTCTAGGTAACGCAGCGTTCTAACATTAACGGAGCTCAATGGCTTCGGAAGCGGCGGACCCAGGAAAGAGCAGGAGAAAGACTAAAATGACATTTTTGTCTGGTTCTAATAAACGCAAAACCAAACAAGGAGAGGAAAACGACAAAAGGGGATCGATTGGTTCTCCAGGTGCAATTCGGCCGGCACAAAACATTGAAGTACCTTCAGAATTGTCGTATGAATCGGTTGCAACAAAGGATGGAGGCTCGCTAATATTCCTCAGAGTGTATTGCGAGAGGGTGAGACGTGGCGACCACTTTAAGACAGTCAGGGTGTACAACAGCACGACAGCCGAAAAGTGTATCAGAGATTTAATAGAAACCTACTACATAAAATTTGGTGATCCCTCAATGTATCAGCTCTATGAAGTTATGGGAAGTATCTCACAGGCAGTCGGCGTCAAAACAGACACTGGAGATGGTCTACTGTTCAAGGAAGTGAAGGTTCGTAAAATAGAACCACACGAAACGGTCCAGGAAATATTTTCGACCATACACCCTGGCACAGGGCTCACACGGCGTATAGAGTTGCGCGTTGGTGAGAACAAAACTGGTGGAAGCCGATACAGTGTTGGATCAAGTCAAGATAGTCTTCCCCAACTAACTGATGAGCCTGGTTTGAGGAGATCTCTGACTCCCGGAAGCACAAGACTCACTTTTCGCGACTCACGTGCAAAAAGAAAGTCCAGTTTCGAACATTCACCAGGTGGACCATACTTGCTTCTGTTAAGAGGAAATGACCCTACTAAAGACGTGTTATTTCACGATCTTGGTCCGCTCATCTATAGTGAAAATCATTCCAACAAAAAAACGGTAGGATTTCATCCTAGCGCAGATATCCGACTTTTTTCTGCTCCCAACATTACATGCTCACCAGAGAGGCTACAAATTATCGCGAAGTTAGTCGGAGAGGACATCCCATTAACAGTTGATGGGCCAAACATCTTAAGTGGAGCTATTTATCTTGAATCTGCCGGTAGTAATATGAACAACGGGTACTCCCCTCTTCTCACACCTATTTCAATCAATAACGAGATTCTGACAGGCCCGGATGGTTTCCAGTTCGAAAGGCGTATGCTGCACCCTGGAGACTTTATCTACTTTGGTTCCAGTAAGCAGGGTTACGTGTTTCTGTTCAAAGATCCTAGATGGATACCGGATTATCGATTAGAACTGGCACTTACAAGTTCCGTTTACGATGCTGGAACAGAAACTCCTCAAAGGTGCGGAACATTGGGCTCATTGTACCGAGGACGGAACTCAGACCGCTCAAGCGATACAGACTCCTCGCTTTCCGCATCTTTGAGACAAAAGACTTTATTGTCCTCACAAGTTCCAGAACAAATTCCTAGAGCTGCGTCATTACGCCAGGTTATTATCGATCTGTTTACCCACCCATTACCCGGTTGCTCACAGAACACCCGCCAGGCAATGGACCCATTTGAGCTGCCTCCCTGGTCGAAAATTGAGCCCTGGCGTTCAGCCTGCCTGTTCTCTCACATTTTGCGATTTACTGCTCAGTTTGTGGTAAAAATTAATTGTCCAATACCAAACAAGGATGTTGAAGAAACGCATCACAAAATCATTCGTGAGTATGCCATCAACCGAATAAAGGATATGCGCTCACTACTTCTGGAATGTCATCAGAATGTGTCCAACGTAAGTCCTGAATCCTGTTCGGCACACATCCGAATGTCATAATAATTTTACAAAACAAAAACTCTGCATATGGTTATTTCCGCAAATCCCGTTTGGAAAGAGGCAACTAGTACGTTATGTTTCTCGATTATCAAAACCGGTCGTCCCCAAATTTAAGGCAATAGTAAGTAGATCATTTCCAAGGGTAAAAAATTCCAAACTTTTCTAATACGAAACGAATTGATCGGGTAGCAGAACGAATAGACTGGGTCTTAATTTTTTAGCTTTTGTGATCGTGGTCGCCGAATTGGGCTCAGGGTGAATTTTGGACAAAACTGGTCGATTTTTACCTGTCATTCGGATGTTTTTCCTCAGATGAAATGGCCGCCTCCTCTCGCTACAGTTTAAGAATACAGCTATTACCTGCCGAATCACAGTTGATATCTGAGTTGAAAAAATTCTTCAGGGGAATTACTTTTGTCATTCACTTCTACGGGAGTATATTAGCCATGATCTCCATCACTACCGTTGAGAGCCCTCATCACATTATCTTCGCGTAGTTTAAACACTGTTCGACTTGATGTTGTCTCCGTAATAAAGTTATATGTATACACATGAACTATTTGTTGAAGGTTGACGTTGTCCTACAGCGTGTGCAATAATGAATCCCGTCCTGTCTGGCGTACAGCTGTTTTCGAAAAGTGCTAGGGGGTATGTAACAGATGTAATATTACTCCACAATTTTCGTTCAATTTCTTTCTTGTCACGACAGTACATTTGCTAGATGCAGCTTGCGCGGCACAACGACAATAAAGTTTGCACAAACAATGATAAGATCAGAGAGCAACACTACTTTTTATCATTCATTGCCTTCTTGATTCACAGATACTTTGCAATGCATGAAAATAATCTAACTTCCTTCATGCAGTCCAGGCTAGAGAAACTGCCATCTTGATGTCAGCCCATTTGTTTCGTCACTGGGTGCTGAATTTACCGGGTCATCTAAAGTCGACCCATATATGGCTAATAAGTATGGTACAGTCGTTAGACGAGTGCAACGCAAAAACTGTTTTCACTTTGGAGAATCCGGTTTTTTGTGTTCAAAAGTCATTTATACACCTGATTTTGGTGCATAGTTTTGTTGACTGTGTCTGAAAAAGCTAGCACCCAGCTAAACTTTCATCGTTTCTTGGCGACAGGTTCAGGCACTAAGAAACACCACTTTTAATACCATCTGTCCGTCAATCACTGACCATCGTCTGGAGGCGCGACATGAAGTGCGAAGCTCAAATATGTTCTCCACTCTATTAACTGGGGTGTTTTCCTACGACACGATGTTGTGCACAAGGTAGAGGTGTGAGCGGACGCCAGAAAGTTCAACCTTTCGGCATTCTGTGGTTTCCTTATCTTAAATATCCGGTCAGAGTTCCAACATACCTCAGGGTCTCTGCGAGGAGTGGAGATTAATTAGGCGGAGTCTTCTGTCTGAACTGGTCAGCGGTTATTTACGTCAAGAATTCGCACCCAAACTTCAGTGAACACTTCTCATCGTCCAAATACATGGTAGTAATATGCAAAAAGTCTGTGAGCTTCCACCAGTGTCAGGTCAAATTGGGGGTAAAAACTGAGCACCTGTTGAACTCAAAAAGTTGACTTCTTGTAGTCGTACGCCTAAAGAAGTTTTCTTCCAGGGGAAAGTACGGTTAATGCGCCTGTATGCTGTAAAATAACGAAAGACTTCGGTTAGCCCGGTGAAAGCGTTGTCCACCCGGAAGTCAAATTATACGCATTTTCAGCCAGACAATTTCACAGATCGTCTAATGCAACTTGTCGTCACACACTGAGAATTCTGTGCGTCGTTGGAGCCATTCTTCCGTAATCGTGGGTGCATATGTAACATCATTTCAACACCCCAGGAGGCGATGTTCGACAGAAATGATGACCTGATTATCCGAGTGGATTAGTGGCAGGGGAATGCACCAGACATGAATCCGTCTGGTTGCTGTGTTACCGACGTGATGTACGCACTCAACGCCACCCATCATGCAGATGGCACGGGTAGACGTAGGTCCATGAACCGCGAATACCGTCCAACTCGTCATACGTGGTCTAGGTCAATGAATGGTGGTTACGGTTGCCAGCACGACGAAGTCGACAACTCTGTCTGTAGCAAAAGTTGTCACATAACCATCCGTCCTCGAAACTATGCTGCATGCGAATTTTGTAGTCGATTTGCACCATTTTTTGCCCGAGGGCTGAAAATTTTCCACGAGAAAGATTTATAAGATGGTTGAAAGCAGCCAACGAACCATCCTGATAGAGCTTCAACGCATTTGGTGGATGACAATCCAAGGTCATTGAATAATTTCGGGTGAAACGTTATACTTCGCCACACACGCCTCTACGTTGGATTCAGGCAGTGACATTCATCTAACAGTTACACATATATCCACGACTACTCTCGGTAAAATATCTGATTCACATTTGTATCCAAATATGTTTGAATGAAAAGCTTACTTAAATAATGTGCATTTGGCCTTGTTTTTTGGCATGTACAAGACTGAGAATGAAAAGTAGCCTTTCATACAAAATTGTTTGTAAAGTTGATGGAACCTCTTGAATAGATCACTACCGTTTCAAGCTTTTGAGGGCTTGTCAAGCTGCCTTAGTCTCTCGGGTTTCGTGAATTGCATACGGTACTTGATTGTCACACTTGACCAAAGCGTAGATAAACTCTTGCAAACTGAGATAGCGTTAAACGGCTACTCAGCTGATTGGGCCGCTTCATTAGATAGGATTTTGTAGACATCAGTTTATTTCCCTTTATATAAAGAATGTTAAAGACTAGAGACTCAGTTGAGGTTTAAGTTAAATGAAAACTTGTTTATCACTGGCTACAATCATGACATTATGGAGACTTGATAAAAGTAAACATGAATAATTCAACAGCTACACCTTACACTGGTACCAAATACGTTTAACCACGGGGCTCAACTGCAAATTAAAATGTATCGGGAAGATGGTACTTGTTCCAGCCTGTTTCTTAACCAAATTTTTAAACCCTTTGACCTGAAACTCCAAGTACATGTCTACAGAAACGTTCTGTGTAATTCCTCTCTCGCCTGTTGCGACGCCATGGTAACGGAGGCAAACATACTGAGTCACCGATTCGAGACGAGAAAAATCAACGGCTGTTCGGGCAAACAAATATTATCGATTGTTTGTTGTGAATGAATGGTCTAGGCACAGTCACAAAAAATTACATTTCCTGTGATCATATTTCTAAACTACGGAGTATTCTTGGGTTTAGAACGCGATAAAACTATACCTTAATCTGGTGAGTTTTTTACCATTAGAATTTCTTGTTGACCATTGGTTTTTGTTCTTTCTGGTGCTTAAAATATGAATGCCCATGCATACATAGGTTGCAATAAAATAACATCTAGCGCTGAAATACCAAAACCCTCATGATCTTAGAAACCAATTTTATCAATTTTTCCGACCAGTGAATCGAGGAAGTTATCAGTAGTGTGGTGCTCTTCTGCGCTATGATGAACAGACGCAAGCGATTTCACTGCGGTGTTTAAAAAGTTTCTTTAAATGGAAACTGAAAAGCTACTGGTACAGTTTGTCACTGTCCTAAAACTCCAGCAGCCGGGAGCTCCGAATATTACATCATCAGAGCGGGGGGGGGGTCGTTGAACACCCTGAGACAGGAGATACTATTGTTATTACAAAGGTCGGTAAAGGTAAAGTCACAGCAGTAATGTACAAGAATGACTACCTTCAAAGGGTCAGGCAACACCTCGCCAATGGATCCTATCGACAAATTATCAGTAGCGGTATATAAAAGTAAGATTAAAGTTGGTAGATATTTAAGGTCAATGATAAACCATCTATTGCAAGTGGTATCGGTTGTATTCAAAAAGTGCGATTCAACTACGAATCTATGGACTGCCGAAAGTCCACGAGGTAGATGTCCCGATAAGGCCGATAGTAGTTGGTATAGGCTCGCCACCACATGCGCTTGCCAGCTTCTTAGCTTGTATATAAAAACCACTCACAGGGGGACTCAATCACCTTCATTAGGAATTCGTACGACTTTGCCAATAAGGTCACCGGGCTTTCCTTGGAGATGGATGAAGTTCTCGTGCGGGTTGACGTAATCACATTGTGCATAAACATCCCTGAGGTGGATGCTTTTGAGGTAACTAAGAGGTTGTTACTGGCAGACACGACACTTAAGGACCGGACAGAGCTTTCAGTGGATAAGAGCTTTCGGGGCATAAGAGCGTGCTTGCATCTCGATCAGCTTGTTTTTGACACAATTGTTTATTCACAAGAGCAGGGTCTTGCCATGGAATCTCTAATATCCCCAGTTTTAGCCTTAGCCAGATATCTTTGTCCACCGAGTCTTTTGGCGTTATGTTGACGATACCTTTGTTGTAAATGAACGTGATAACGCGAACTTATAAACTGCCAGGCAATTGTATACCGGAAATGGTGGGCATAAAATGAGGATAAACAAACCAACGAGAAATATGGAAGAATAGCAAACGCTAGTCAAAGATCCAGCGATTGTAGTACACAAGTTAGACACAAAAGAGAACAGATCTGGAGAATGTGGAAGTCCTAAAAAGGGAACTGCGATTCACTGATTGCCGAGGCGGTGGAAATTACCAAGCATCACAGCGTGAATAGAATCTGGGTGTGGAACTGACGAGCGTATGGAAAGCAGTCTCAGGTGAGCCGAGTTGACACGTGACTGAGTGTGGTTGTCAATGCACATAGAATCGTTTGAAAAACAGGGGGTGGAGATATTAAGCGGACTGAAGTTCACAGGATCGACACACGCATCGGCACTGACGGACGAAAAGTGCAAACGACGTTCACTGGAAGAACTAGACCCTAAGCCGGACCCAAATTCATGTGGGCTTCCCATCGGCTTAACACTCAGAGACCCACCCTAACACAAAATCCCTTGATCGAAACCTGCCACAGGTTTAGAATGATGTAGCTGATTGGTTCTCCTTTCTCCTCAAATCTCACCCAACTTTGTAGTC